AGAGAAAGAGAGAGAGAGAGAGAGAGAATAAAGTGAATAGTCAATAGTATCTCTAAGTACATACTGAAAGGTACTAATCCCTTGGCACAGAATTGGATGAAGAAAACCCAACCTGTCTTGGGCTGGTCCTGAGGTTTCTCTGCTTCTCATCTGTTTCTTTCTACAATTTTCCCCACAGTTAAAACGATCTAAGGGTTTGCTTTTGTTTGCTATGGACTCAACTGTAGGTGTTATTACAAGAGTCTTTCTTGTTATCCCTTTCAGAAATGCACAGAGCTATGGCTTTGTACTCACTAATACTCCTCTCATGCCACTCAAGGCAATTATTTGTGAAAAATTCTCTGATTTCTGAGGATGCCTGATTTACAAAAGCTGTATTAATGATTTTGGTCTCCTTAGGGTTAATAGGGTCAAGTCCTAGTTCTTTTAGCTCCTTTGCAGATACAGTCATAGAACTGGTTCAGGTCTCTTTCTTTTCTTGCCTAATTTCCTAAAGCGGATAGACAAACACAGAACAAAGTGAAACATTCGCCTATTTTCCCTTTTTGCGAATTTAGTTTCTTGTCAATTTTATATCTTAGATTCCTATCTTTAAGATTTTCTTTTCCCGTTTGAAAACTAAAAGAAAAGGCATAAGTACATTACAGTCAAATCACTGTTTTAGAATCTCCAATCACAAATTTAGTCTCAAATTATTTATTATCTATCTTTCATCTCTACAACTTTCAATGTGGCCAGAGAGAAAAGAGCTACTTGTCTTCTATGAAGACTTTTTTGAAAATTCTTTTTTTTTTTTATAACTTGTTTCTTTTCAGTTGATCAAGCCAAAAGAAAGGGCAGAAGCAAAACACTTGTTGGCTATGGCTTAGCATAAAACACGGAGAACATAAAACAGACACATAAGCGGGCCCTGTGAGGAGCAACAAACATGTCCTATTCTTAATTTTTGAAAAAAGAGAAGTTACAGAAGTTACAGTTGCCTGGTTTCTGATGCTGCAAAATCTTTCTCCATACACTTTTAACTTTCTCTTTAAGTGGAAACCAGAGAGAGGTTGAGATGAAAAATTTAGCAAAAGAAACAGAAAAGAAAAACAGGGCCCTCCTAAGGTCAGAGGCTTACCTGAGCAGCAGAGAGAAAGGAATCAGCTAGGGAGAGGAGTCCAGGTCCGGGGTCCCCCGGAGAAGGAACCAGGTCTGCAGTTCCTGGAACATTCACCGGAGGGTCCTAGGAGCTGGAGTCCAATCCTTTCATCCAGACTGTGCCAATCTTAAATTAAGAATCAAAAAAAGAAACTGGGAAGCCTTTCTGGGCAAAGAAACCAACTTTTATTAAGAGAAACAAAGGTGGGGTCTACAGTCCACCCAGTATGGTCTGAGAAACCCAAGATACAAAATTCACAGTTATTTATAGTTTTCTTGATTCATGTATAGTGAAAAAAAAAAAGCTTGCTACTGCGCAAATAAGTTTCCTTTTACTCAAGCAGCTTTTGAGAAAACCAGGGTGCTTTTTCATCAGAAGCTCAAGGCAAACAACTACATTTTAATATAAAAATTAATATAAAGGTATGATTATTATAGTCACATACTGAAGGTACACACTTTGTAATGACTTAGTTACATTTCTAAGGTTAATTAACACAGGAATATCCCTGGGACTACATCATAGTTTGGTTACACACAGGTGTTTTACCTGGGACTATATTCTTACTATAAATCACAGTTATTTCTTATCCTAATAATTAGAGCGGATAAAAGATGAGCAAAGCAACACAGAGCAAAGCTCTCAAGGCATTGATCATTGATCTTTTTCCTTTCACTTTAAATTATGGTCATTTTTTGGACACATCTGTTCTCTCCCCTACTAGATGGGAAACTCCCTGAGGGCAAGAGTCACTTGGTCTTAATCTCTGCACCCTACATAGTTGCTAAGACCTAACAGGTTGGGTGCTCAGTAGGCGTTTTCTGATTTTGAACCTTGATTGGGCATTCGTACTTTTCTTTGATGGTGATGCCCAGGTCTTAGACTTCAAAACTCCCTCCCAGCATCTAACCAATAGGAGGCCCTTGGTTAATATTTGGTGATTGACTGATGTCACCCTACTTGTCACCATGGCAGGAATTATGATTGCATCATCATTGGGAAGAAAAAGAAACAGAACACAGGGAGTGCCCAGTACCTTGCAAGGGGCATTTCCTTGGGATGCTCCCAGACTGCTTCAAACAGCCAAAGTGACTGGTTCCTAATGCATGAGGAGGTCTGCAGAAGAACTGAGTAATGAGGGCTAGAACTGACATAGAACCTTAAGGTTAGCAAAGCATTTGACAGGTCTCATTTGATACTCACAACAACCCGGTGCTATTATCACCCCCATTTTACAGATGAGTAAGCTGAGAAGGAAAGTGGTTAAATGCATTATACAGGATCATATAGACGGTAAGCATCTGTGGCAAGCTTTAAGATAAGGTCTTCCTGACTCCATATTAAGTCTTCTATCTACTGCACTACTAAGAAGGCTGGGGTATCTTGGGTCAAGCCAGATATCAAGAAAGACCTCCTAACAATTAGGGCAGCCCAACCATGGATTGGGTTGCCTCAGGAAGGAGTGAGATGCCCCTCACTAAAGCTGGATTGAGGATGGGAGGAGAAGTGTGTTAGTGGTACTCCTGGGTCTTTCTCCTTGTTTCCTCATGGTGGCAAGTGGGTTATTCACAGGTGTCTATGACAGTTGGAGGCTGTGGCTTGTGCTGCTCCAAATGTCTTGACTAGGATGTCCCCAAATTAGAAGAGTAAGTGATGATAAAAGCTGTGGTCAGATCCAGCCTAGGGGACTGGTGGGCAGCAGTAGCAGGGAAGCCCAATTATTATTGGAGCCTTGCAAAGAAAAGCCATTTCTTGCTCCCTCTCTCTTCCACCCCCGCTTCCCTGGCTTGGTCTTATGTGACATCTGACATGTCTCCTTAGCAGGCCAGAATGTCACCATGTTCAAAGAAGGTTTGTATTTGCAAATAGCTGAATTACACACCATTATTACAATGGCTATATTGACTCGCTCCCATTCAAGCTGAATAGTATGGGGAGCTAGAGGATCCCAGCATCCCTTGGGTAGGCTAGAGAGCAAAGATCACCAGAAACACAGGATGAGTGAATTGGAGAGTTCTGAGAGATCTGCTGCTGGGAGTCTGGAATTTCTGTCAGTGGGACTGCCATGATCCCAGGCAACCAAGCTTGGAGTCTTCCGGTTATCTGACTCCTTCCCATTCCTCATGCCCCATGGATGATCGACCATGGAATCCTAGATTTTTGACTTCCACTGGTCTCTTCAATCCATTTTTCTCTTTCATTCTTGCTTTTAGTTAAGATTCTTATTAGCCCTCATTCAGTTTATCACAATAACCTTATAACTTGTCTTGCCATCTCAGCCTTTCCATGTTATGGTCTGAAGGGCAAGGCTGCCTGGGCTGAGTGAAAGGACCAGAGTATTGGAAAAGGAGTGTAAACAAATGTTTTTTTTTTTTCTCAGAGTCTGGAGAGAAGGGTAGAGAAGGACCCAGACCCAGAAGGGGTAGAATAGAATTCTTCACATATATGAGGGCTCTCTGAGGAAGCCCAATCTCCAGTTTGGGCTAGGGTAGACTCTGTGTCTCCCTCTGGCACTATGAGACCACCTGGTAGAGAGCTTGGGTAGGAGACCTTCTAATATCCACAGGGTGGTGGTGTCTGTTGTCTTCCAGATTCTTGGCTTGAGGAGATGAAGCTGTCCATGCTTGAATCTGAGGAGGTGGATGAGAGGGAAGGGAGGATGTCCTCAAGGCTGGAAATGGTCATGAACCCTTGGGGGATAGAAGCAAAGGCTGAACATCTGGTGCTTATCAAAGGCTTCCATTCCATTCCATTGAGGAGGACCCCCTTAGAAGGCCCATCTGGGATACTGTCTATTACCTTGAGGAGTGGGAGTGGGGGGCCTTTCCTTTTTTGAGACTGATCCTCCCTATCTCTCCCAACCTGGAAGTGCAGCAGGCACTAGCAGGCCAAATATGTACTGAGGAGAATGAGAGTTTTGCCTGCTTGTCTTTCCAACCTGGGTCAGCTCACCCTTCTTAGGCAGCTCCTGGGGACTGTGAAACTCAGTGAGGTACCTAACATGAGGGCCTCCTACAGCTCAGAACCTCCAGACAATCCGCCAGCCTCCCAAGCAGCAGGGCCTGCCAGGGTGGACCCCAGGCCCGGCTTGGGGGGGGGCTTCCCGAGCTTTTACCCATTCTCCCTCTCATCTTCCTCTTGGAACCACACATCAGCCCTTGCCAATGGATTGGCTGGTGGTGGTCTTCATTTTACATCTATGAACCTTATCATCTAACTAGCCTGGGAGCTCCCCATGGAAGGGAGTGAGGTGGCCTAGCACCACAGCTGGAAAACAGGCTGGAAAGTAGAAAGCATTGAACTTGGGAGTCAGGAAACCTGGGTTTCAGTTTGGATTCTGACACTGACCAGCTGTGAGATCTTGGGCTAATTACATAACCTTTCTTTGACTCAGTTTCTTCAGCTGTAACAATACAATGTAATATAAATGTAAACATGTAAAAATGAATAATAATAATGATGATGATTATGACAGCTAAGATTTCTGTAGCATGTTGAAGTTTGTGAAGCACTTTCGATTTTCTCTCATTCGACCCTCACAACAGCTCTGTGAAGTGTGCATGCTGTTATCACCCCCATTTTATAGATGAGGAGGCTGAGGCTGGGAGAAATTAAAGAACCTGCCCAGGGTCACACAGCTACTAAGAACCTGAGGCAGACAAGACTTGAACTCAGGTCTTCCTGACTCCCAAGTCCACCCCTGTGCCCACCTCATAGTGTAGCGTTTGGCAAACCTCAAAGTGCTCCACTAATGTCTTATTATTATTACTGCCTGATGACTGAGGTCCCTGGACTCAGAAGAGATCTTCGGATATTGCAAAAGAGAACGTGAGCAAACAACACCCTCCTCCTCTCTCACCTTGCCTATTTAGTTCAGAGTGGGCGACACTGTTGGCTTCTGTCGCAGAGCGTGCTTCAGAACCTGGGGCTGGGTTCACCGGGTTGGAGGGGGCATCCATCCTGGGGGGTTGGTTCGCTCCTGAGGTGCTGGCCTGGGGTTGCTTGAAGACCTTATTCGTCTTGTGTCTTTCACTTTCTCCACATTCCTTCTTGATCACCTTCCACGAGTTTAATTTGTTGGGAAGGGATGATTTTCTCTTCCTTGACTGGGCATTAGGAGACTGCCCCTGCTGCAGCGGGGGAAGAGAAAGCACAAAGAGACATGTTCTAGTCACTTGGATGGACCCACAGTAGAGAAGGATGATGTGAGGGGTGAAGGGGAAGGGAAGAGGTGATGGGAAGCCTGGCCTGGGGAGCCCTTCCCCACTGTTTTCCCTGTTCTAGAAATGGTGTTGTGTTTTTTTTTTAAACTATTTCCTTTCCATTATCCCAATCCTGCTCATTCTTATGTACCTGGCTTCCTCCAGAAAGTCTTCCCTGACCATCCCAGGCTTCAGGAATCTCTCCCTTCCCTAAAGTCCTATACCACTAGTAGGCACTGAATCCCACCCTCTGTCACCCTCTTCTCTCTTTTATGTCAATTTGAGCTTTGTCCCTCGAGATCAGGCTACAAGTTGCTCTCCAAGGTTATGGCCTACGTCGTCCTCTCCTTCCTCTCTGCTCCTGTGCTGGGCACATTATTGACACTTAATGAACACTCCCTGCTTCCCTATCCCAGCTCCTTCCCTCATCATCCAGGGAGGGTCACAGGAGCAGGAGTGACTGTGACAATTCCTACAGCTTAGTCCAAACTCCACTCTTAAGCCACGGGCTTATCCCCACAAGGTGCTGGCCTTCCAAGGCTAAGCTTACATCATGCCAAGCAGCTCTTGGCCCCAGGACAGAAAACCTAAGGGCACCTCTCCCTAATGGACATGCTGAAGACACTGTCAGCTTGGCCAAGCTCCCAGTGGGCTGAATGGGTTCAGGATAGAGCTGGAGGCTTTTCCAAAGGGGGACAATTGGCTGGGTTACAGTCACTTTCTGATCTCCCTGCCCAGAAATACTCAGGCCTTACTCCTCTTCCCATTGGTCCACAGTCCTAATTGGACCTTAATATCCTTCTTCTCTGGTCTCACGACCAGGCTACTGCTCCCTTCTGTGGACCACACAGTTCAAGGACCTGAGGGGCAAAAGATGAACATGGGAAGCAGGTTTGGGAGTGGAAGAGGTTTTTATGGAGAGATGGACAAAAAGGCTTACTGTTTCAGTCTTATTGTCTGTGATGTGTCCCTGTTTCTGCACTTTTTCTCATCTTGCTGCAAAGTCAGGAGAAAAAAAGCAGACCATAGGTACGAAAAGGGCCTAGAGTTTACACAGACCCTAACCTGGGCTCTGGATCCTTGCAGGGAGGCAGATGAGCTAATGGAGAGTGGATAGCCTTGGGAATCAGAAAACAACACTTCTATAATGCTTTCCCCAAACGCTGTGGTAGAAACAGAGTACTGATTATTATCCCCATCTTATAGCAGAGAAAACTGATTTTCTGCGAAGTGAAATGACTTGCCTCTGCTCACACAGCTGGCTAAGGGGCTGCAGTGGGATTCAAACTTAGGTCTTTTCTCATCCAATTTCACTCCTCTCTCCACCATCAGACGCTACCTTGCTTCTATCTACTGGGTCACATTCTCTTTTGGCCACATGATAGAGCATCTCCCTCCTTGTCATCATAGCTCCGGCACATGGTGCAGCTCTGGATTTGGAATGGGGGGTTCAAATCCGGGCTCTGCCACTGACCAGCTGGGAGACGTGGGCAAAAGAGCTACAGCTTCCGCATGTGTAAAAGGAGGGAGTTATCCTCTCTGGGCTTCAAGTCCCCTTCCCGCTCTGCCTCCCGGCCTCCCTGACTTCCTTCAAGTCCCAACTAAAATCTCTCCTGCCATAGGAAGCCTTTCCCAATCCCTGAATTCTAGCACCTTCTCTCCATTGACTACTTCCCATTTTACCTCTTCTATAGTTTGTTTGTACTTACTGGTTTTTTTTTTACATGTTGTTTCCCCCATTAGATTGGGAGCTCCTTGAGGGCAGGGACTGATTTTTACCTTTCTGTATATCCCCAGTGCTTAATGGTGTGGAGCATACAGCGGGAGCTTAATAAATGCTTATTGACTGAGTAACATTTTCTGAAACTATAATTCATGCTGTGGCTACCAGATGGATGAGTTCTACTCCCTGAAGACAGAAGGGGGTGAGGTCTTTGTCCATACAGGTCAGATTTATTCAAGATCCCTCCTAGGCTTAGCTTCTGTGATTCTGATCTTATGATTTTGCCTTTGCATTTGAGGTGTAGCATTTTTTCTGCTTTTCTCTGGCTGCTCCCCCACAAAAAACTTCCCCCAAAAAACTATCCTCTGCAAACTTTTGTACAGATGGGGTGTGTGTGTGTATGTGTGTGTGTGTGTGTGTGTGTGAGAGAGAGAGAGAGAGAGAGAGAGAGAGAGAGAGAGAGAGAGAGAGAGAGAGACACCAATGGTTCAGAAGGTTTAATTACTGCATGACAGTGTTTGAATCAGAGGAACACACAGTAATCAACTGAGTTAAGGCTGAAGCCAGATGGGAAGGACCACGGCAAGCAAGAGGCAAGCTACCATGTTTTCTACCAGGGCTGCAACAGAAAATCTCTAACAATGAATTATACAGAGTTCTACTCTCTAATTGTTTAAGGTGCTTGGGTTCACACTTGATCCCACCTAGTCTGTCCTGAATATTACTGTTTTGCTTTTGTAAATTCCCTCCTTCCCATCCCTTTGCCCCTTTCCCTGCATCCCCAACCTCCAAGCTCCAGCAGGGCAGGGGTCATCCTTTCTTCTTCACGGCTCCCCTCCAGCACAATTTAGCAAGCAGTGAACACACAGGGGGCCCCGAAAGACACTTGTAGGTCAATGGATGGATGTTAAGCCAGTATTTCTCCACACAATTCAATTCAATTGAATTCACTCCTTCCCAAATCTATAAGCATGTATTAAGCATATGCTACATGTAAGACATTGAGCTAGATGCTGGAGACACAGATACATTATTTGCCCTCCTATTGACCCCTGAGGACAGGAAAAACCCAGCTAAGAGACCCCAGTTTTTTGTGCAATTATAGGTGCACCCACAGACAGACCTAGCTTTAGCTAATGATGCAATGAAAAAGAATGCTCTATTTGGAATCAGAAGATCTGGGTTTGAATCTGGGCCCTGCTACTTACTATCCATGTGACCTTACTTCACTGAATAAGCATTTATTAAGCACCTGCTACGTTCCAGGCACTGTGCTAAGTGCTGAAGGCAGCTATGGTGGCATCCAGCTCTAAATCTGTGGCCTCTTCTCTCCCCTTATTTCTGACACACTGATCGCTTTTGTCTTAGAAAACCACTTGCAGTTTCTGCACACCTCAGTAACAGCTAGCACTTATATAGATTTGCAAAGCACTTTACACACGCCATCTTATTTGATCCTCAACAACCCCATGAGGTAGGTGCTGCTATTACTGTCCCCATTGGTGAGGTGGGGAAACTGAGGTAGAGAAACTGGCTAAAATGATTTGCGCAAAGTCACATAACTAGTAAGTAACCGAGGCAGGATTTGAACCTGAGTCTTCCTGCCTCCAAGGCCAATTCTGCATCTACTCTGCCACGGTGCCTCTCAAATAAAAAATGATCTATTAAAAATAATTGGCTTAAAGAAGAAAACAGAAGGAAACAGATACATCTGTGTAAGTTTTGTTTTCATTTCCATCTCCTTTGTGCTAGAAAGTGTGGCTGGCCTTGTGTTCAGTTTCCTTTCCCCTCCCCAGGAGGCAAATATTCGGAAAGAAATGTATTTGTGTTTCATTTCAGACAAGTGAAAATTCTCATTTTTAAGACTGGTGATCTCCGTCCCTTGTGCACTCCCCACCCTGGGTCTTAAGGACCATCTCACCGAATCACTGTCTGCGGTGATGGTGGTGAGCTCCATGGGTTCTTCCTTCTTGCTCTCTTTCTCCAGGTTAGCAGCTTCAGAAACTGTGGAAGAAGGGACATCTGATCAAACTTCTAAAGAGGCCAAGAGCTCCTGAGGGTGACCTTTGTCACTGACTCTAAAGCATCTTACAGGTCGGGTCTGCCTGGAACTCTGGAAAACTGCTAGGGCTCCCAGAATGAAGTGTTCTCACTGAGCATGCTGGGGCAGGGCGGCCTGAATGGCAGGGCTCTAATACCTGTGCTTGCCTCTCCCTCTAGGACAGTGTCATCTGGCAGAAAATATTGTGGGTCTTGGGTTTGATTTCATATTCTGACATCTTTGAGTGAGACAACTCTAACTGTAGTTTGTTTGCTTGTTTGCCTTCTCATAAGAATCCAAAATTTGCCTCCCTGGAAGTTCCATTTACTGCTCCTTGCTGTGCATTCTTGGGTCAAGCAGAATAGAGCTAACTCCTCTACCACAAGCCAGCCCTTCAAACACCTGGGCAGTCATCATACCTCACTCTCCCTCCCAAGTCTTCTTTTTTTTTTTTCCAGGCTAAACACTCCTAGTTCTTTGCTTACAGGCTGCCTCATCACTCTTTATCCAGGGTGCTCTGGATCACCTTTACCTTTCTCCTTGGTGACCCGTGCAAACAGAGCCTGGAGTTTGGCCTTGCAATCTTCAAATTCTTCCACCTTGACCGAGGCTTGGAGGTTCATGGGCTTCTCCTTGTTGAGGTGCTCCAGAGCTTCCCGGATGAAGGTGTGCATCTCCAGGACCTCCTGGTCCGAGGCGTAACGCTGCAGCTTTTCCACCAAGAGCTCGCCATTCTGGATGCGCTGAAGCATGCTTTTCAGGTGCCGAAGCTTCTCCGCCATCTGCTCGTGGCTCTGGTGGTACTGGCCCTCCACCGTCTCCAGGAGCTCCTTCTCCTTGGCCTGGATCTGCTCCACCATGAGTTGGACCCGAGAGTGGATCAGCTCCTCGGTCTCCTTCTTCATCTGTTCCAGGTGGCCGATGGCCGTCTGGATCTTGTCATGGGCTTCAGTGAAGGTCTGCTCTTGGGTTTTCAGGTCCCCGGTGATCTTCACCAGCTCCTCTTGCCGCAGCTGGATCTCGGAGCTGATGGCACAATACTGGTCCTTGTGGCTGCTGTCCAAGAGAGCACAGGTGCAGCAGATGGGCTTGGCACATCCTCGGCAGTAGATGCTGCGGAAAATTTAAAAAAATCAGGGTGGTATATTTGAGTCTGAGAGCCTTAGACTTGAAACTGGAAAGGCAAGAGTTTGGGTCCCCCTTCTACCACTAATTGCATGATCTTTAATAAGTCATCATGTCACAGGTCACCTAATCTGACCTCTGGCCAGAAGCATAAATCTTATCTATAGCATCTTAAAAAGGTGGTTATGCTGCTTTTGTTGGAAGACCTATTGTTCTAGAGAGCTTATTACTTACTAAAGCGGCTCATTCCATTCTTGGGGATTTCTTCATCTCTAAATGGAGGCATAGAATACCTGCCCTGTCTGGTTTCAGAAGCTGGTTTTTATTCATTTTTGGTGTAATTCCATTAAGATAATGGATCTAAAGTGCTTTACAATGCCCAAGACCTCTGTGAGTATAAACTGATTGCGTCTGAGGCCCAGTGGTTTCAACACGAACTGGGGAGTTGCTAACATGGTGTCCCAAGGGTCAGTGCTTGGTTCTGCACTGTTTGACATTTTATTTTTTAATCAGTGACTTAGATAGAGGCACAGATGGTAGTAAAAATGGGAGAGAAAGAGAGAGACCTCTTGTCTGAGAACTGGGTTGAAGGTTGGCACAGATCATATCCTTCCTTCCAAAGGGGTAAAGGTCTGGCCCACTGCCACACAGCGAACTACTTACAATTGGGACAAGAACGCAGGTCTGACTTGCCATCTAGTAGTCATGAAATTGTATACAAGTTCTCTGAACATGGGTAACTTATGTAAAGAGATGTGAAGGATTAACTTCCACTATGTAACAACAGCACGTCATACAAGCCAATTGTGCTTTAAAACAGTATGTAACACCTCCCCTCCAAAACACGGCTCCCTCAAAAAGTCAGGTTGCTGAGATATGCTTAGTCATCCACTCAGGGGAAGGGGATACCAACCTAGTTCACATCAGATATCTCCATTTTTAAAAGGCAAAGTGGAGACACAAAGAGAGAGATGCTTCAGCAGGCCCTAGAATGGAGCCCGCTCTAATCTGGGAGAAGGAGAAGGAAGGAGGGTAGCTCCTATGTAGGAAGAAATTTTCTCATCACCAGAATTGTACATAAGTGGAATGGGACTCTATGGGAGGAAGTGGATTCCCTGTCCCTGGATAACCAGGGGCATGTGGGGACTGCTGAAGGGATTTCCAGCTCAGACAGAAGCCAGCCTACCTATCATCTGAGATCTCCTCCAGGCTCCAGAGGAAGCCTGCTTGAGAGAGGCAACAGAGAGCTCCAAAGGCAGGATGGCTTGAGAACAGAGAATCAGACGAGGTGAATTCAAAAAGGAATTCTCAATAATTTAGTTAAAAGCAAAGTAATGTTAAGAATGGTGCTGAAATATTGGGATTTTGCCTGATCAACACTCTTACGTTTTAAGGGTAGGCAGAGGATGGACCAGGAATGACGGGCTGTCTTCTGCATCACAGGAGAGAACTCCCCAAACAAGGAGCCAGACTTGAGCGTATGAAGGAATAAAACGGAGAGAATAGGCTAAAGTGGAGACGGCCAAAGTGAGGCTATTATAGTGAAGCACAGATGGCGTGTGCGCATTTTTACAGTCAAAAGGTTTTGGGGTCCTCTATGCTACGTTATTTGTTTTATCTATTTTTCTTGGGGAGTAAATCTAATTTGTTTTTATCTGTCTGTGTATGTATCTATTGATCTACTCATCTATCAATCTATTTACCTTTCTATCGATCAATCTCCCTATCCTTCTTCCTATATTTAACTTGTTTAATTTTTAATTTTTTTTTTTTTAGGCAATTGGGGTTAAATGACTTGCCCAGGGTCACACAGCTAGTAAGTGTCAAGTGTTTGGTCTGAGGCTGGATTTGAACTCAGGTCCTCCTGACTTCAGGGCCAGCACTCTATCCACTGCGCCACCTAGCTGCCCCCAACCTACTTATTTATCAAATATCTATCATCTATCTGCCTGCCTATCTATTGACCTATCAATCTATCTACCTATCTAGGATTGATCTACCTATAGCTATTTATGTATTTATCTTTTCCCCCATCTATTCACCTATCACCCATCTATCTACTTACCTATCTACTTATTTTTCATCTATCTATATATCATCCTGCTATCTACTTATCATCTCCCTATCTACTTCTCTATCTACCTACTTCTCTATCATCTACCCACCTATCAGCTAGCATTTATTATCTTTGTTTCTTGTTTAGTTGTTTTCAGCCGTGTTTCATTCTTTATGACCCTGATTTCAGGTTTTCTTGGCAAAGATACTAGAGTGGCTTGCCATTTCCTTCTCTAGTTCATTTCACAGATGATGAAACTGAGGAAAACAGGGTTAAGTGACTTGCCCAGGGCCACACAGCTAGTAAGTATCTGAGGCCAGATTTGAACTCAGGAAGACGAGTCTTCCTAACTCCAGGAGCTCTATGCACGGTACCAGTAGCTGCTCCATTTATTATCTACTTATCCATCTATAACCTGTCTACTTACCTACTTATCTATCATTCACTTATCTACCTATTTATCTATCATCTACCTATAAGCTATCTATTATCTCTCTACTCTCCTACTTATCTATCTACTTCTCTATCATGTACCTATGAGTTATCTACTTATCTATCTACCTACCTATTTATCAATCATACATCTATCTACTTACTTATCCATCATCTGCCTATTTGCTATAATACATTATCTATCATGAATCTACTTATCTATCTATAACTTATATATTGACCCATGCATATCTACTGATCTATCTATCCATCAATTATCTACCTACCTATGTACCTATTGATTGATCTACCCATATCTATCTCTACCTACCTATCTTCCTATCTATCCATCAACTCTCTCTCTCCTTCTCTCTCTCCTGATCTATCTATCTATCTATCTATCTATCTATCTATGTATCATCCATCTACTTATTTATCTATCATTTACCTATCAACTATCACCTATTATCTATCTACCTTTCTATCATCTATCCATCTATTTATCTATAATCTGTCTACCTACTCTATCATCCATCTACCCACATATTTACCTACTTATCAATCATCTATCTAGCCAATCTACCTATTGATCAATTAACCTATTCATCTATTATCTTTCTTCTTCTGTATCTAAGTATCTATCTATCTATCTATCTATCTAACTATCTATCTATCTATCTGTCTATTTATCATCTATCAAGTCCTACTCAGAGGCTTCATTAGTGTGGAAAGAACCCTGATTTCTTGGCAGTGGAGTGCAAGCTCTGACAGATTCTACTATGTGGGAAAGGCTTTGAGTATGGTCCCATAGACAGACCAGTCTTCTTTGTGGGGATCAGTCTAGGCTGGGTTAGTAACGAATTCTCTAGAAAGGCACAAAGGGTCCTCCAGCCGTGTGTGACTGGCTCCCATGGTCATGGCAGTGGTGGGAAAAGGCATACAGGAGGCTAAGGGTCACACAGTCTTCAGACTGTCTAGAAATATTGATTTAGTAATGGGTAACCTAAATATGAGCTCTTTCTTAGTGACCAAGGAGGGAACACACAATCCCTGGAGGAGCTCAATCATATTTATCTCAGTAATCTTGTTATAAATGAATAAAGAAGACCAAAGGAAAGCATGCCAAGAAGCTCATGAAGGCTGTTTTGGAGACACAAATAAAGGAGTTGCTGCAATTGGTTCTATCATGCATCCAAGGACAATAAGAAATAACATTTCACAGGACATCTGATCATCTCCTACTGGAGAATTGTGTTATGCATTTGCAAAAAGACCTCTACGAAGACCATTATAAACCAAAATCTACCGCAGACCATGGAGAGATGGAGAAGTTCTTTAAAGAACTTACTAAGACCCTACAGATCAAATCAATTTATAGTAGACAACTTGGTCACCTGAATGCAAAGAAAGGCAAAAGGGAGGATGGTGGGAAAAATACACAGGAGAACAAGCTTTAGGAGTAAGAAAAAGAGTGGTAAAAAAATTAGACACAATACAGAAGCCTGACAATACTTCTTGTAAAAAAATTTTTATAGACAAACTTGGTCCCAAAGAAGAGATATGAGAAGTCACTTAAGCCCACTCCTTCACAGAGGTTGGGGTGGGGAATCTATGGGTGTGGAACATTGCATATGCCAGATTTTTTTCAATGTACTGAGTAGTTGCACGTCATTTTTCTCCTCTTCCTATTTGTTTTTAAAAATTATTTATCATAACAGATGGCTCCCTGGAGGGGAAAAGAGTAAAATACTGGTGGAAATCTAAGCTCTGGAAAAACAAAACAGATCAATAAAAATTATTTTAAATAAAATTAATTTTCATTGATATCTTTTGCATTTATATCACTTATATTTTCCAACACATTCTTCACCCCAATCTCTTTGAGAGAGCTATCATTTATAACGAAGATTTTTTAAATGGGGGAAAATCCCAATTAATTCAAACCAATCAATATCTAGAAAAAGTCTGATATTATATGCCATGTTCCACACCCGCAAAGCGAAGAAAAGTCCCTTCTCATGTCACTTCTTTGGGACCAGCTGGGTCATTATGGTGTCACAACATTCAGTTCCTATTATTTTACTGTTGTTCATTTCATTACATTGTTGGAGTCACTGTATACACTGTTTTCCTAGTTTGACTTACTTCAGTTTGTATCAGTTTGTATGAGTCTTTTCAAGTGCCTCTGTATGTATTACAATTAGCATTTCTTAAAAGCACGGTAATACTCTATTGCATTCACTTGCCATAATTTGTTCAGCCATTCCTAACCTGTGGGCATCTACTTTGTTTCCAGCTCTTTGCCATGATAAAAAGTGCTGCTATAAATATTTGTGCAGTGTAGAGGGCCTTTGGGGACCTTTCTTTAATCACTGACTTCCCTGTGCCATATTCCTAACAGCGGAATTTCTAAGTCAAAGGGCAAGGATACTTTGGTCACTTACGTCACATAATTTCAAATTGGTTTCAGAATTGATATATCATGAATATTTTCTTCAAG